AAATAAATAAATAAATAAAGTGATCAAGCAAAAACTGGTCACCCTCATTTTAAAAATTACTTTGATACTTCTCTCAGTTCAGTTCAGTTCATTGACTAGTTTACTATTTCTTTACTTAAGTACAGTTTTGATGTACTTTAACTTTAGTTTTTCTAGTTTATATTCCTTTATACTTCTACTCCACTACAATTCAGAGGCAAAAATGAAAAACTCAACTATATTTGATATCTTAAGTTACTTTGCAGATGTAGATTATTAATACAAAATAGTATAAATAAGATTAAATAAATAAATTATTATATATTAAGTAATTAAAATCAGCTCCACCTTTACAAGCTGCAACATTAAAGTGATGAATACATGAATGCATCAATAATTATGATCCAGTAATATGATATACATTGTTCTGAAATGGTAATTTTGGTACTTTAAATGTGTTAAGCAGTAGCTGATGTAGCTATTGTTATGATTTGGCACTATTGAATTATTTCCAAACGGGGGTTGTGAGCTTTCTACCATTATTACCACACACTTGTAGTTGGATTATTTGCTTGTTTCAGCTTCAGTGAAAGTGACTAAAAGTGGCTGTGTGACTCAGACAGTCATACAGCGGCCCAGGCAGACGGCGACGGTAGTGCTGCTTTTCAAACCAATTATTAACTTTAATAATCGACCGTCTCTTATTTTTTATATAATCAAATTTAGAATATTAATTGACAGCTATAGTTTTGATGCTAATATTTTTGTATTTTAACTTAAGTAAGAATTTGAATACTTTTACTTGTAAAAGAATATTTATACACTGTAATATTTCTACTTTTGCTTAAAAGAACCAGTGTGTAAGATTTAGAGGTGTCTCGCTGTGAACTGAATACAGCTACTGTGAAACATGCAAAAAACATGAATGTCCCTGTCTAGAGCCAGTGTTTAGTTTGTCATTTCTGGGCTACTGTAGAAACATGGAGGTTCAACATGGCAGACTCCATAGAAGAGATAAAATGTCTCATTCTAAGGGAACAAAAACACAATGATTTTTATTTTCAGGTCGTTATACACTAATGAAAATAAACCTATGAATATTATATTAACTCGATCGTCCTAAATGTTACACACTGGACCTTTTTAAAGTAAAA